TGTACTTTCGATTACGGAAAAATTCTTAAGGCTCTGTTCTAATCTTGATAGGTTTGGTCAGGGCCGATAGTGCAGGATACTGTAACCATCATTCACATCAAAGCTGTTATTCCACTGTTATTTTGTAGTTTTCATTGCTAAACATAGCTTTCTGATTGACCTATAAGACCTTCATGGTCGACAGTATGAGGTAATTTCAATGATATGTACAGTGGAACCGATAGGGATGAAAAAAATAATGATGATGCTTTAAACGAACGACAATCATCACTTAGAGGACTCATTTAACAACGATCTGATTACATACAGATGAGAAATGTTTGCATCTGACTCTAAATCAAGTCGTGGTAGAAAACTGATAGGAATTCAAATAAAGATCTTCAGTTTTCATCAATAAGGTTGATGGATCTGTGTTAATCCTTACAGTTTGCTTTCCAGTGAAGGTGGTGCCTTAAGTAAGGCACTTTTGACCAGCATCCATCCAGATAGTTTCTCATTCACTCCCACTCTTTGTCTTCGGTCACACAAGACGTTTTTCAACCGTTCGTGTACAGCACCTGTTATTCTGAAGCTCGAGAAATTCTGCATACGACCTAAGCGTGAAATCTTGTCCAAGCCTTTGCTAAAGTCTATGAATATCACATCGACAGACACACTTTTATCTAGAATTGCTGTCTAATCCTCTTCCGCACTAAGTTGGTCAAGCATGAATAGTTGTTTCGAAACCCGTTTTGCTCTGGAATTAGTAAATCATGCGGATCTATGTGGCCTAATACATTTACCCGAATTGTCTTCTGAAGTAACTTAACTACTATGCTGGTTAGACTGACAGGTTGGTAGTCAGATAAGATCTGTCTCTGACCACCTTTAAATATAAAATGAGCTATAGCATCTTATCATTCCGTAGGGAGTGTGGGGAGACGACGCGTGTTGAAGAGCATCGTGAGTGGCTTTAAGGTAATGTATGCAAGAGAATAACAACAGTCATGGATGTAACCCACCAGGGTAGGGTATCCTAATAAGTTTGAGGTAAGTGGTCAGTTGAAGAACAGTTCCCTCAGTCATATGTCCAGGTGCTATAGCTGGTATCGCAGTGGTGTGGTTATGATATATATCGTTAACAGTACCCGTAGAATATACTTTTCCGAAATAGTTTGATAAGGTCTCAGCTCTAGCTAGATCTGATTCAACAAGTATGTGTGAATTTTCGTGCAACAGCGATGAGGATGAAGATACCACAGGTATTGTAGTTTGACTACACGTTACCAGTAACACCTTCTACAATCGAATCGCGCCCACTCTGTGAAATCAAAAGTAAGAAGTGAGGAGATTGGAAGATATATTTGATAGATTATTAATATATCGAGAAGCGACTGATCTAAACTGGCTAGTGATCGCAGGAGACGTTGAGCACGCCGATACAACTTGTGATTTGGTGCGGATGCATGATAGAGCGCCTTCAGCTAAGTGAGTCGATTAAAACTAATAACGAACACTTACAGAGCTATTGATTTTGAGGATTTATTTACCGCTACAAAGAGAAATCACCACTATGCTTTGCTATCCGTTTAATGTACGAAAACAGTCGTTTCAGCCAAGCTTGACTATCATTTGCCAGCTGTCTTACATAAGTGGTTCGGCGTCCAGCTACGGTCTTTTTGCATATATTGAGGATCTTTCGGCATTTACACTTAAATGATTCGTGGCCTGTCTACAAGTCTTAGAAATGCTTTCTACGCTTCAGCGGCTTTCAGGTTTCCTTGTCAATCCATGGAGGGGAATGTGACAGCCTACGTGTTGACCATGGGATGTACAGTGATGTTACGGACTCGAATATGCCTTTAAACCTATTCCATTTGTCTTCGATCGACTCATCCGCACCGACCGATCAGTCTGTTGGGACAGCACGGTTTCTGGTCGCCAGATATTGGGACGAGCGCAGCAGACGCATTTTGTAAAAGGAGATTTGATAACCACCTTCTGGTGATGGAAGATCCTGAATGTCAATGACATCGTCACAGACAAGGTCCAGGAATGACGATTCATGTTCCAAGTCAATACATGTCCGTTTAGCGATACATTGCACAAGTGCACATCAAATAATAAAAGATTGGAGGTTGCTACCGGAACATTTACCAGAAGTTGTAAGCTCTATACAGTTGATATGCAGGGCGTTGAAACCTTCAAGGATAAGACGACATTCGGTCACATATGACTGAGTATATCCAAGAACCGATATGACTGAAGATAAAGTCATCAGCAAGACAACGTGGACCACGGTATATTTCTCCTATAGTCACCAACCCAAATCTAGAATTATTTACACAACAAACCACTTTATATGTGACATTGTCATGAGTCTCTGATGTGATCGATTGTACATGAAATTGGTGTCTGATATACAATATTTTGCCTGGCGCATTCTTCAATGGACAACTGTGTAACAGTTGTGTTGTTAAGTTATTAAGTTTTCATTTCATGTTAAAACTCTTTTGATCATTACTCCTCATAAATCATTTCATAACCAGACAACGTCCTCATGGGCTAAAAATTTGTCCAAAGCTTTCCACATGCTTTATTCAGTCAAAGTGCTATGTATACCGTTGAACATACATGTCTGTTAGGGGAGATAAAACCGTTTATTACAATCCTCTGTCAAAATGCGTGATAACTTTTTTCTGTTGGTTCAGCCTAATGCAGGAAGTTGATATCCTTTGACAATGTAACTGAGAAAAAGTACTGTTAAACGATAGTGTTTTGACAGTTACAAACTTCGTGCCAATATTTTCAAACAATTCCTAGAATGTTCTATCGAGGTATTGGTGATCCACCGCTACTAGACACGGAAGCCCGTTAAGCGAAAGCTTCTTTTCCGTCCACAACCATTTGAACCATTTATCGAGCTGGATTTCACTGTATCGAAATAAACTCTGAATTTTGAATACCTAGCTTTTATGCTTTGCTTTTTAGGATAACCAGATTTAATCAGCACCATCTTGTCATGCATCCTGGTCTAGCTGTAGCTTCTACTTTTACTGTTCTAGGAAATGGTTTAGTTTGACTAAAATAAGACTACTTCAGCCCATAAAGTCATAACTGTTACTATTTGACCTGAATAAAGTTTTTGTGATCAGGTCTAGTGAGACGACTGATGTCGATAAGTTGAAATTCGAGTTTGATGGTCTGGAGCTAGTTTCACCAATATAGTTTCACTTGCGAGTCAACTTAAATATGTGTGTTTATTAACATCAAGTGATCTTTGTCGAAATCAGTTGCAACAAGACAGTTGTATTTTCTCTTTGTCTTTCATTGAATATGGGGTTTGTTATCTCATGCTTTTTATTATTTATTCCCGCTCGACCTTTTTTAGCCACGCTTCTCATTTGGTTTGCTCCTTTGTTCACACTCAATGTAAGGTGCCAGAAAACATTAATGGCTAACTAGACTCCACTACTTATCATCACCCAAAATAGGATTTAGTGTATTTATTTTATCCGTTGTTGATATTGTATTGTTCAACAAAATGCTACAAGCAAAATATGTTTTTGCTGTCATATTTTATGTGTCTGTTCGAGATGGTGAATCCTTCAATATTGAATTTAGGAAAAAACCAATTTTCAAATTCACATTAATTTAAGATAAACTGCTTTGACTAACTGCCAATGGGTTTTCATTTGTATCGATTTATTTGGTTTAAAGTTAGTTAATTGGTTTCAAGGCATTTCTATTTGTCATGCCCCGATATGGGTAATGAATGGTAACTTTGGGATCTATTTATGAACCAACACTGCTTTTTTATAGTACAGTCACTAAATAACTATTCATATTCGTGCCCCCCTTATTATAAGCTTTATTTTGAACCATAAACTATCGTTATATGACTTACCATTCCTGAGTTATGCCTTGTCTACTATTTACTAGCTCCCCTATTCACATCCATATTTGGCTAAATCTTGTACATATGTTAGTTTTTATTTTATGGTACGATGTGGTCTGATTGGTATATAAACTCAGTATGTTTGAAATATAATGATTCACGCCGCAGAGGCTATTATGGACTTAACTGGCTGGGCTAGGCAGAAGTAGGACCGATACGTACTCTAGACTGTTCGTACGGTTTCCATGTGTCACTGTTCCAATCGATAATTCGCTGCACTCTCATTGGCGGTCTTATCACGTCATACGTTAACAAGGCATCCACTCGGCCACAAGTTATAACACTATTGTGTTCAAAAATTCACTAAATATTGTGCAAAGTGACTTGCCCAGTTTAATAATTGTAGTTAATAATCACATATTCGATGTAGTTGGATACAGTTGGGCATTGACTGATACATCTTCACAAGGTTTATCTTCCCCCTTTTGTTGTACCATGGATTATTTTTCAATCATTGTGTATTAGTTGTCTGGTCCATCCAGTTCTCATGGATCCCGTCTCGTATTAGAATCCTGTTGTTAGTAATTCAGAAATACTGACGCCAAACAACTCACAACACTCATTCATACGTTTTACTAAAGGTAAATATTAGTTAATAGTGATCAGTTTAGTCACCAGCATTTTGATACAACTGGTCTTTTAAATCCAAATTAACCTTCATGGTAGCTCCTGGTTTAACGTTCGATGATTCGTCGTAAAGAAATACAGTTATTAATTTTTCCAGACTATCTGAAATAGTAGTTGCTTCTTTATTTTTCCATTGGCTTAATATTTTAAATGGTTATTCAATTTCGATCACTTTTATTGATGTTCATTCTGTTATTATTTCCCAGAATTTTCTGGTTTGTTTATCTTGAGCTGTCGCCTGGCACATAGTGGTCTCTTCAGTTCAAAAGTATTTGGTCTCGAAATAACAATACAATAAATCGGTTTGTTTCTCGATGGTTGGCGATTGCAGGATTTTTATCTCACCAATAATTCTACTCCGTGTTTTGTGGGGACATAATGATTCTTTTACTTTTGGGACCTTTAAGTTAAATAAACAACTTATACATTCTTCTGTATGAGGAGCAAAAAGAGCCGTCATAAATTGGTTGCTCTCAACTTTCTATCCAATATATCTCTTGATGGGAGACATGAACATAAACCTAATGGGATCGGCTATCACACCTCTGTCCCGTACATTTCCAGTGCTGGTAAGTATTTACGTTACTCTTGAGGCTTCTTTTAGAGATATATCAACCGAGTTACGATTCCATTTCACAGAACCGAGTTCCCAAACGGTTACATAGTTTTTCTCCGTAAACCATGTATCAAGACATACAACTACACAGATGCTAATAGTGTGACTTAAAATTATCATTTCGTTCATGTCTTGCTGTGCGAGCATTGAGGGTCATCTGATGGGAGTATGTTAGTCTCCTCAGATACCATTGGTAAGATCCTCAAATGCTTAACTTTGATCTCAGCGACTGATAAATAGCTGGAAAATATTTATTTCGCAACCAACTAACTTTTGTTTTAACCTATTACCTAACCAATACTCAGTACATACCAACGTCCTGGTTTGAACAAATACTTACTCTTCAAAAGGGTTACACTGTGTACTGTAAACGCATGATACGCTCCACAGGATCTCGGACAACATAATAAGAAATGATTCTTACTTTTTATAATGAACAAGATTTTCTTTGTAGGTTAATGTTTTATAGGATGCTTGTTAAATTGATTCGTAATTGGCTTTTTAACTGAATAACAAGTATTTGTCTTTTACACGAGAACTGCTTCTTTTGATTGATTCATAGTTAATAGTTGCATGTGTTGACAGGTGAGCAAGGGTATATAAATTTTTATTTATTTCTTTTTAGGACAAAATGGCACAAAAATTTCTCCAAGTAACTCTTCTTATGAGCAGCAAGTTAATGATACATTTCATGAAATATCTAAAGAATCAGTATCAACCAATTTTTCGGGAGTACCTAAAAACATCTTAAGTTCGGTGACATGTACCCAAAATTATGCTTTATGCAATAGTTTCGTGGATACGCATCTACAGAACAATATATCTCAAACATTTCCTAAGGTTTCCATTCCAAATGTTTCCTCTTCATATGTTACAGATGTACAACTGGGTAGTGGGAAGTATGTTGAATGTTAGCCACTTTTCTTTGTCTATAAAATCTTCTAAGTCTTCGATACAGATTAATTTTTGTCATTTTTCTCAGTTATGTTTTAAACTGCTCCAAACTATGTGGCTATATTTTCACTTTTATCCCACCCTGAAAACTATATTTGCTGTTAATTAGTGTACTAATTATTCACCTAATTGTCATTAAATGTAATCACTTATAGGTATATGTGATCGTTAATCTAATTCAACTAATCGTAATTTATCTCTGTCATATTTGTTCAGTCAGTACATCAGATTGTGGTTCATTATTATAGGCTTTCAGTTCACAACCACTTGGTGTTGGGTACATTTTCTCTTCGTTTAATTTTAACAGGCGCAATGAACATATAGTCCCCAAATAATCCTTATGACTCAATGACCAGTGCACATATATGTACTTGACCACTGAACTATATTACTTGTAGTTGCAACTAATAATGTTTGAAAACTACTGATCAATAATAGGTTGACGTACTTAACTTTTAACCACTCCTATTACATGAGCGATTAATATTCTGTCTAGTTCCCCAGATAAGTATTCGTTGAGCGGAGAATGGATCTGCGTTTGTGTAGTCAGAAGTTGAGTATTAAAACTACCGAGTCACACTTGCAGTTGCATTGTTATCACTGTCACTACTTCCCTAAAATATATCTTAAGTCGTGAATTATGTATGCTGGAAGGTGAGTTAACCTTTTTTTTCACAAATCTTTGGTGCTTTAGGTGGGGGTGGTTTTTAATGTTTGAAGATCATAGGGCGTTAAAATAAGATTTGCTGATACTGTACCCCATCTTTATCTCTTCCAGTTTTCACCCACCATTTGAGGTATAATTTGATTTCATATGTACAGGAAAGGATGCTGTATAGTATTTCATTGCTTATTGTGCTGGAATGGTGTTAGATATAGTAGGTTTTGATCAGCTCGAAAAAGCAGTTTCCATTCTCTGATTTATGACAAACTCCCCCCCCAACTATCCTCCTATATTACTAGGTGATTTGTATTTTTAGGTTTCCAGCTAGTGTCACTATGTTTACTGAATAGGCATGATTGCGATCACTTAACTGATTGATAAGATAAATAAAGGTTTACAATAATCCGGTTAAGCAGTGCGGCTCCTGTCTGAATGTATTGAAATTGAGTACTGGTTTAACAGATTCACTAAGTTTCCTCATAAGAAACAACAGATGAACTTCTTCGTAGTATGATATGTTGGACAAGAATTGTTATATCCTAGTGAAGATATAAGTACAGGTAACTTCCGCGACCTATGAATGGACTATTATTCTATATATATTCCTATGTATGACTATTCAGTAACTAGATTGTGTATATCTATATTCCTCTTATCATAAGCTTCATTTTGACTTATTGATTATTATTACATTTATTTATTTAAGCACATAAATCTTGGTACAAAAGGGTACCAGATACATATGCGCCACACAAATCTCGTTTGATTTGTGTGAAGGCTGTGATACTGCCCGGGTGCCCAAACCGAAACAGGTGGTTTTCTTAGGAGGCTCCACAAGGCAGTGGAGCATCATAATGAGATGCAATTCCATGATGGCCAGTGACCGACGATTGATTCGTACGCCATTTGTCCCCTCAGGATCCTGGAGCTCATGTGCACGATGGGTTTGGAATTAAGGTTTACCAACTCCCCTAGGTGGATGCGCCGTGTCCAGCAACCTGGTTAAAGCGCCGGACAATCGCTTTTCGTCCTCTCAATTTCGTAAACAACACCGTCACGAGAAGACAGTGAGTAGGACTTCCCTGGCAGAGACTATATACGCGTGGCCGTGTGAGAGCATTTCGAGAGTGAGAGCGGACTCTCCCCACTCTCGCCGTACCAGGGCACGATTTACTGTTCCTGAATTATACTTAGTTTATTGATTACTGTCTCCCACGTTCACAGCCACATTTTGACTTGATCTTGTACAAATATTATCTATTTTATGATGTGATGCGGTCTGTCTGTCTGACATATAAAGCGAGTGTGCTTGAAATAAATAATTCGTATAACATTAGCTGTAATTGGTGTTCTGGACTCAATTGGAAGGGATAGGCGGACAAAGGACCAATAAGGACGCTAGACAGCTCATACTGGTCGAACGTCATTGATTTGGCACAGTGTTAAAATTGGATAAGTCGTATTTCGATTGGTGGATAATTCACGTGATAAAAAGCCGGACATGAAATCACAAGAAATTGGAGACAGCTTTCTTTTTTAAATTCATAACAAGAATTGGGTCTGACAGTCAAGATATATTTTAACTGACACTCGAGTGACTTGAAATCTGTACCTTCCAATCACTTACTCTTCAGTTGACTTGCGATCATACTTATTTTCATGTACATTTTTTGTACCTAAGCACGCCATTCTACTAACCTGAATACCATGATACTACTGAGGCATTGGTACCAAAACTGACTGTTATCCTAAGAAAGCTATCTTTTAGTAGTTAATTAGATTCTCCATAAAAACGTCCCAACTCAACACTGTTTACTAATAGGGATAATAACTGTAATTTATGGACAATCAACTTCTGTTTAACGGGCCAGTGTCGTAATTTTTTCTCCCAGCCTAAATATATCTTTAAAATGACGTAAATATTCCGTGTGTCGTCAGTTGTAACTAACTAATATTTCTTATTAGTTTCTCTAGTCTGTCACATATTTTTCAAAAAGTGTTCATTTTCTATTCCAGGCAAGAAAGCTTCACTGATAAACCATCTTCGAACAAACTTTCAGTCAGTGAGTGGGACATGTTCTTTTAGCGTCATTTTTCAAGCTGGTATTTTGTTGTTAAGCTCGTAAATACTAATTTGAGCTTCAGTATTGTGTAAGTGATTACCGATGGCATCTGATATATTGATTCAACTCTATAGTGACTTGTCGAAAGAACGTTTTTATTGGTACTAAAACTTACCCACTATCTGCGATCAATATGAATGAGATGTATGTCCTCCAACTCTTAATAGGGTTGCAATGGCTACAGGAGGTCTAAAATGAGGGAGAGCATCGGGGCCTTATGGACTAACCCCTGAGAGTTTTAAGGGTGGTGGTCCAGTTTTAGCAGTTAGATTAACTGAAATCTTAGCTAGGACCTGAGATCTGGACATAATCCCATCTGACTGGTCTCGATCTCTGAAAGGACAAAAATCTCATGACAATCACAAACTGATATAGTTTAACTAATACAGTGTCTAAAATATTAACCTCAATAATACTTTGATGCCTGAATAGGGCTTGTGAAGAGCAAACCTGGACTTGGATGTATGGACCAAATATTCATACCATATATTTTCATTTTTACTTTTTATAGTCCTATAGACTTCTTTTGGGTTCGTTTATTCTGTCTTCTCGCACCATATTTTCACCAGTAATTACTATTTCTGCTCATCTTGTCGTTTTAATATGATGTGTCAACTAGAGGTAACGTACATTTATCTCAGGCTATACGTTGATTATGATTGACAGAATTACTTCCTAGTGTATTACTGTTTTCTGATATTCAAAAAGATAACAATTGTATGCCTGCACCGTATTCTCGTGGGTATAGTAAATCTTCTAGTCAAGTATTTGCTTAATTTCACTTGGTTGTAGGTAATTGAGAACTAAAGATTATTATTCGTTCATCATTCGTTATAGCCAAATGTTCACGATAGTGGTTTAAAGTTTTACATAATTTTCATACAACGTTAAGTAACTTCTTCATCTTAGTGCGGGACTCACGTCATCACTATTGACATCGAGTGATTGTCGTATTATGTTTCGAATTCTCTGATGTCGGAGGTGTGGGTCATTGAACCCTAACATTGTATGGTCTGTATTGTCCATCACTATGTTAAACCCACGTAACTTATTCTAGCTTCTGAACAGGTCAATTTATCCATTCTTCTTGAGTCATATTTTGACCTTGTTATTTATTCACTTATCAACCCTGACTGTTTTTATATTAACGTATGTGTGTGTACATTCTTATCCTGTGAATCACATGTCTGTAGTTTATTTTTATGTGACTATAAATATTGATTAACGCTTGACTAAATGGGGTTGGCTTACACGCCACTGCGTGTCATCTCACTTCATTCTCTTCACTTCGTTTCGTTTCTTCGATCGCTTGTCTAGATCAATATTTGTATGAAATACACGTATTAAAAATCCATTCTTGTATTTGGCTTATTTAATTCCGTTATTCACTAACGTGGATTAGGTCGATAATTTTATACGAGGATTGACGATATGTATATTTCAATAACATTCATTCGTACAATCTACCTGGAGTCAGATATAGGGCCACAAAAGTGGTGACCCCGTCGATAACATCGTCCAATCTAGTTGACGTCAAAATGAAGGTCCCCACTAAAGGTTTATAAGTATCGTGCTCATCCCAATACCTAAAAACTGTGAATCTCATGGTCATTCATTCAGTCATAATCAGTGTAGAGCCTGGGACAAATATTCATCTAACATCAACTGACAACTGAAACTACTGAAGATGTCACGTATACGCAATGTTTGTCAACACTACCGTCCGAAACCTCTGTTTAAACATAAATTCCCAAGGCAGTTAAATCAGAAGTAGAGAATGAAGGGATGCGAAGGTATACTCGAGTCGTTATCGGCGGGTTTCCGATCTAAGCTTACTAGTTGCCATGAGAGATGTACAACGCGGCATGCGCTAGCCTTCGGCTAGGGATATGTTCAGTACAATTAATGAGATCAACATCAATTTTGAATGCTTATCGATTTTATTTTATGAATTTATTTAGCACGACATTATTTTCAATTTGCTTGACCCATTATCCCTTTATTAATTGACCTAACGTGATTTCATATGAGTCAGCCTTATTTCACAACTTCGGTTGTTATTTCTCTTTTGATATTCTTATTTAGCTACTGATTTATCTTATCGAATCACTGAAGTGCAACCTAAGACTAATTTTAAAATTAAACTATCTCATGAATCTGGTAATATCAGTTTGGAAGATATAAAAGGACTGTGTAAAATAAATCCAAAATCAATGCAAACTAATTCGTTATCCATAATTTCTAAAAGGTATGTTATTATTTATTTACTTATTTATTTGAACACATAAACATTGGTACAAAGGGGCACCAGATACATATGGGCCACACGATAACAATGAGGTTGTGAAGAGATAGAGACTGTAAAGTGTTTATGATAAAAACAACGAACAGAAATTAGTGTATGAGGGTGAAATAATAATAACAATGGGAGAGGCAGTTCAGTTAGGAAAAATACAACCGGAAAGAATTCTTTCAGTTAAAGAAGTTAAGTTCACTTTTATGATTAAAACAAAACAAAGTTACAGTAAGATCGTCACTGGCTTCTTTTCTGAACCGTGTGTGATTACGTCTCTAGCCCCTGTATTGTGCCATCTCTAGGACCACAACTAGGGAGTCGTAAAGATCCAACAGGAGACAGTTCTGTACATCTTTCCTAACAGGACACCATATCATACACTGACCACCTCTCCGCTTTTTCCAACCGGTCACAGCGTCGGCATATAATGCACGACGTGAAATTTTTTGGAATGACATTTGTAGGACATGTCCAAGCCACTTAAGTCGATGTTTCAAGGTAGTGACATTAATTGAATTATCGACTCTGTGCCCGAACACACTATGCCGAACTTCTGCATTACTAACATGGTGTTGTCATTGGATGTCAGCAGTCCTTCGGAGACAACGGTGATCAAACACAGAAAGTCGTTTAACATCCTCAACTTGGAGGGGCCAGGTTTCGCAAGCATAGAGTAAAACTGCTTCCACCGACGCGTTGTAGATTCGATGTTTTGTAGCCAGACTAATATCACAAAGGCTCCAAGGATGGCCCAGATTGGCATAAGCCGTTCTGACTTTCATTATACTTGAATTGATCTCATTACTCACACTTTCACCAGCACTTAAGCAGCTACCTAGATATACGAACTTCTTGATCCAAAGTGAGTTCAGGTTCAGGGTCCTGCCAGTCTTGTAAAAGTACTTTGCACTTCGAAGGTGCAAGGCACATGTCATCCCTACAAATACTGATTGCCAACTGGTTGAGTGCCGGTTGTGTGGCTGGGGTAACATCGCACAATATGACAGTACTATCCTTATACTCAAGGTAAAAATGTCTCCCCCCAGAGCAACAGATCTACACAACCATTACCTACAAACATCAGAGTTGTTTTCGCAATGCTGTTGATGACAAAGTCGAAAAGGAACAGCAAGATTGGGCAACCCTAACTGATCCCACCGCTTAAATAAAACAATGGAGAGAAGTGGTTGCATGCCGTCATTCTGTCTAAGGTATTTGTGTCTAGGGTCTTCAGAATGTTAATAAACTTCTCAGGAACACCCTTCTTACTAGATAACTCCGGAAAACAGTCCTGTCCAACGAATTGAAGGCGGCTTTGGTGTCAAGAAACACTATGATTGTTGACCTGTAATACGTATGACGGTGTTTTAACATATGGTGGAGGGTGGAGATGTGGTCAATACATCCTCGACCAGAACGAAAACCAGCCTCCTTCTCACGATCCAATTTTTCTCGTGTTTTGAACGATTTATGAAGTATGACGGAAGCCAATAGTTTGGACGAAACCGGACGTAGATTTATTCCCTGATAGTTTTTGCAGAAACGATGTGAACCCTTTTTAAATATAGGAATAACTATCGACTTATTCCACAATGTTGGAACACTCCCTAATTCTCAGACGTTTGTAAACAGCTCAGTCATTTCTGTTATGACTCGTAAGTTGAATGCTTTATTCGGATCCTAGCTATTCGGATAACCCCAGGCTAGCACTACTCAGCGACTTGAAAGACCAGAGAGAAGACACGAGTAACAGAGAATCACTTTACTACAAGGTTCATTTATGTACAGGAAAAACAGGGGTTTTATAGTAATTAAAAAGACCTTGAGATTCCATAGTAGCAATAAGTTTAACAGCCAATCAGGACCTCATCATTTTAGTAGCATGGCTTCTAACTAATCGCTGATTGGTTGGGCTCTTTATGAGCCTCTCTGGAGGCTCTGATAGAGTTTATTGTAAGCCGACCTAACAATTTCCCTAACCAGAATGTCGCAACCGTCTTTATAAAGGACCGAAGGTAAGTTATCTGGGCCTGGCGGTTTGTGGCGCCTCAAGAGTTGGGATTCCCTGCGGACTTCCGCCTCGTTGAGTGGATCAGTAGTCACAAGCCATCTAAAGTAGGACAGTCCGGTCGATGTTGCCGGGGCAGCAGGCCAGTTGAACTGCTCCATGAAAAACTCTTGCTATCGTCCAAGATGTCGATAGATGTTAATGATTAGGATCCCGTCATCTTCACAGATTGTTTCACTCACACCAGACTTCTTGCTGCCAGTGACTCGGTGATTTGAAAGAGCTTCCGGGAGTTACTAGGTGCAGCTGCTGCTTCCAACTCATTAGCACGCTCCGACTACCAGGCTTCTCGGTCCTTGTGCAAACCAATGATAACTACGACTGGTATGTTTATAAGGTTATATTGTATTAGGTTTGGGCTATTTTACCCATTTTGTTTCAGGTTCTTGTGAAATTTTATTGATTTTTCTTTATTAGATATTCAAATTCTTCAGTGTTTATACCATTTTCTATATAGATAGTAAATATTCTAGTCAGAAAATAAATAGTTGATAAAACTCAAGAATATATTTGAAGTGGTTATGCTTTTTATTTTGTAGATTTTTATCGTGTTAAGGTTCACTTGTCTTAAAATTATAAATATGTTCTTCTTTGTATTATATATTAATTCGTCCAGTCGATTTTAATTAATTTTTCTTCTTGACTTTTCTGGTTTTGACAGAGATTAGTGTGGATAGTTTTCCAGTATCTTTTTGATACTTTAGTGTGCTAGGCCTCCAAATGCCCTGGTAAGGCCGAGAGTGGGGAGAGTCTACTCTCCCTCTCGAAATGCTCTCACATGGCCAGCGAATATATAGCCTCTGCCAGGGAAGTCCTACTCACTGACTTCTCGTGGCGGGGGTGTTGTTTACGAAAGTGAGAGGACGAAAAGCGAATGTCCGGCGCTTTAACCGGGTTGGTAGACACGGAGAGTCCACCTAGGGGAGTTGGAAAACCCTGATTCCAAACCAATGGTGCACATGGGCTCCAGTATCCTGATGGAACGAATGGCGGACGAACCTGTCATTGGTCACCGGCTACCATGGGACTGCATCTCCTCACGATGTTCCACTGCCTTGTGGATCAGACCTTTAGGTCAAAGGCTCGGGGTGTGGCCCCCTAAGAAAACCACCTAATTCGGTTTGGGCACACGGGCAGTATCACAGCCCACACACAAATTATTTTGTGTGGTGCATATGTACCTGGTGCCCTTTTGTACCAATATTTATGTGTTTAAATAAATAATAAGGCCAAATAATATTCAACTCCGACTTCAATACGGTAAACGAAACTAATTCTATCATGTTCTTCCCTTCCCCCTAATTGGAGTGAGAATTTTAGTTTGTGTAGAAGCTTTGTTGATCAAGTCTCTGTTATGTCTTGGTCAAGGTTGTAGCCAATTATTATGACTTGCTCAAGGTCGTCGCTAATTTGTTATGACCTTACAAATTAAACAAGGACGTAACTCGTGTGAATTATCCGTCAGTAGAATACGACTTCTACGACCTTAACACTGTGACAATGACCTTCGATTGGTATGACTAATCTCGCGTCCTTATTGGTCCTTAATCCGCCTAGCCCGTCCACTTGAGTCCAGAACACCAATAGCAGCCTCGGAAATATGAATCTAAGCGAATCTGTGCGGATCGTTTATTTCAAACATACTCTGTTTATATATCAGACAGACAGGCCACATTACACCATAAAATGGAGAATAATATTTGTACAAAACCAAGCCAAATGTGGCTGTAAGCGTGGGGGACAATAATCAATAAACTGAGTATAACATAGGAACAGTAAATCATATGATAATAATCAATAGGTCAAAATGGAGCTTACAATAAGATGAATATAGATATACATAATCTAGTTACTGAATAGTTATACAATAGGAATATACATAGAATAATAGTCCAATAATAGGTCCTGGGAGTTACCCATACTTATGTCTTCGCCAGTATATAACAGTCTCCGAGACTAATTAATTTACATTCATGTTATTCAGTGACATTTCTATTAAGCGATTATTAATTATAATGGTTTGTCAAATCGAATAATCATCATTGAACACAAAACTACAATCAGTGAATCAATTCAAGTAAAAATGCATGTTAGATTGAATAACTAACTGTATACTGAATAATCGCTACAGGGGAAAACTGTAAAAGTTAATAAACAGAATTCACCATTAGGAAATTAATATAGCGAAAATGCTTTAAAGGTTGCTCAGATGAAAATCATCCCAAGTTGATAAGAGAATCTCAAGACTGATTTCCTTCCTTATTCGTTGTATTTGAGGATTTGACGTCACCAACACTTCCCCCTCGCCATTTGCATAATGAAGTGTTGATAACAATGTCGATGGGTCTTATAAAATCGTCTGTGACTTTATCACAGATTATTATGGAAGAGAAAGTAGAATAAAGCAAATTTCTTTTACAGACCTGCTATACTCACAACGTGTTATGGATTTATATTCATGAACTGCTAACCTACAGCTCAAGTTACATTCGTCTTGTCACATGCAGACAGGTGGTTTCGTTAAATTTACTATCACTATTGCTAAGGTTACAAGACTTTAGAATTGTCAAAGACTTTTAGTTTCTCGTAGTTGGTATTCAAGGTTCAATTGGTTAGTCCCGTATGTCCATCCTGAGCGGATTGTCTTGGTATAGCTTTATGCCATAAGTCCTAGCATATTTAATGTTTTGCTAACAGTGATATCTAGATTGAACTACTCACATAGATGTACATCCATAGTATTAAAGTTCACATCGAGACTCAAACCAAATACCTTTCATCTGCAACGCCTGAAGCGTTATACAATGAGCCACTGAGGCAAACTGCTAAGAATGTACATGTGGCAACAAACACTGATCAACCGCGGTCCCGAATAACAACAACGGGAAGTTAACTCTTAATAACACCTCCATATCTCTTCGAGGTGAACGGTACCGTGTTCGAGTTTTATTATGGGAAGTAATACCGGAATCCGGGTATAGTCAACTGATGAGTCCAAAAAGGACGAAACATACATTATGTATTCCATTGCTAACCACATACCAGGTATACTAAAACTCTAGGATGTTTTATTATTTTGACGTAGTTTATATCATTTTTCACATTTATCATGTTTTCCAATCTCAGTTATGATTATTTACGGGCTAAAAACAATGTTGATCGAATGAAAAAACTAAAAGGCGACAAAAATGGTTTGTTTGCTATCAATCAAATGTATATATCATGTGACTGTTATGTACAGACATTTTTTTTCAATTACATTTTTTGTACTTATTGTTATATGTAACGAAAGCAGGTCATATGTTAACTAATTTAGATGATTTTTTGAGAATTCTATACATGTAACATTTGAGTTGTTTTTGCTATATTTGGTACTTGATTGCTTGACTCTGACTTTCTAGCTACTTCACAGTTCTCCGTAGGTTTGCATTTAAACACTGAACACAAGACGAAAAGTGGTGTAAAAATAGCTTTACTTATATATATTAATACAAATTGAAATACTGAACATATCTTTCTAAGTGCAAAGGTCAAGTTTTTGAAGTTGAGCTTAATGGCTTCTGCTTCATAGAGGGGACATAAATCTGGGTTACTTGGCAAACTATTAGGGGCCTGTTATAAAACCGACAATCCCTCCACTAGTTTGATGTGATGTTTACTATCTGTCAAGTAGAAAAGGGACTTAGTTTTTAATCTTGTAACCCGGTATCCTAAATTTCAAGTACTCGGGTCACTAAACCATTAGCTCCATGCAACCTTTTTGTTCGGGGTGTGTGAATTCTATTATTCATATTTATTAAATTCTGGTTACATCTAAGTTGGTGTATAACTTCTACCTAAAGTAAACAGAAGTATCTTTTACAACATCAGGGTAGTTCTTTATATGTAATGTGTCTAGATGTGAATATCTTCACTTGCTGATCAATCCCAGCTTACAATTTAAACTAAATTGAAAATTTTGACTCAGTCACCGCAAGATGTGAATGTTTTGGGTTCGGTGACGTGTAGATTTATGGCTAAGCACTTCTGAAAAAGCGTAGATTTAAAAGAACTTAAAGTTCAGAAGTCCCTATCTTTATCTTATGCTAGTTAGTAGTGCTAAAAAGTTTGAAAAAAAGAAAAACGTGATCTACATCTTGATAGGCACAAAACAATGATTTGAACACAATGACGTAGACAGGTTTCGTCTCTCAAGGTCCTCATTTTTAAGGTTACATGCATCTCCAAAAAAAGAAGGACTTGGGTTCATTTCTATGGGCATTTTTTGGGACGGAATGAAGACTACACAGTGCTATATCAAGGCATCTCTTCGGAGGAGGGCAACAGGTTGATACTTTTAAGTCTTTCAGAATAATAATTGAACTCCAATCTTCTAGAATTTGCGGAAACCATAGTTATCAACCATCCGAAACCGGATTTTCGTTCTGAAAAAGAAACTGGTGAATCGAACGTAGCCTTGGTAATATCAGCCTTATTTCACTACGTCTCTTTTTTAATCCTTTTTCTTATTTTAGTAGCATATATTTTAATTATTTTTAATTTATAGTTCTACTTTTATCTAAGTAACCTCAACTCGTTGTTTTGAATCGCCATTAATCTGTATTCAGCTATTTCATTTACCTAAGTAGTTTGTTCGTCCGCTGTATGATATTTTGTTAATATTTTCGGATTCATTCATGAATCCTCTCTCGCATATAGTATTCATTTGCAACATTTTTTATTTCTGTTTCTACGATCCTTCTGATTACATTTAGTCTCAATTTAAGCATTTTATCTTATCATGCTGAGCCATCCTTTCCCAATGATAATTTCCCTATTAACTGATGAATATTTGAGCCATTAACATTCAAACGATTAATAGTTTCCCCATTAAGAATTTCTAGATACCTTTGCTTATTCTACCTCACTGTTACCATGTCTAACAGAAGTTTATTATCAGTATTATTGTAATTATTATCATCCTGAAAAATAAGTATATATACTTGCGATTGTACAGCTTTGAAAATAAATTCGCCGAAAAGAGAACTCTTTGCTGAATCAATCTTTCTTACTTAATGTCTTAATGGGTGTATTTCGTTAACGTTTTTTTCAATCTTATAAATTTCATTTAAATCTATGCCGCACCACTTCGAACCAACTTGAGCGATTTTTTAAAATTTTTATGCATAATTGTGATCTTAAAATACTAGAGTTTGTAAGAAACCGATAAAGACGTAGTGAAATTAAATAAATTCATGTTATTTTGTCGAAATCTTTTTTCATACTGTATATGATAGAAATTAATGTTTGTTCATAATTAACATGACTAAATAAACTAGTCTCTCTTTCATAGATCTAACGTTTCTTACTTTTTTCACTAATGGATGTTATTCCTTTCATTCAGTTACTTCTCATTCCATTCATATTTTTAATACATTTGTACTTTTTTTAAACTCCCGTAGTTCGGTAGTTCGCGTTTTAAATGTTCACAATTAATAACACTTTTATTCATCCTTACTTAAATAAAATAATTTCCTTTTTTCCTGACATTTTTGTGTGAGTTCACACGTGAATCAATTTGAAAAATTAATGTCATGCATGCTTATTTCATGTGACTGATCAGTATTTTAAGCTGCGTGAATAGGGGTTCAGTAAATTTATTTTAAAAATACCACTGGTCTAATTCATTTTTACATGTTAGTGTTTTGTGAACGATAACTCAAGTGGGGATAAGCAATTTATTGTTCAATACAAAACTATAGAACATCTTGCTAAAATATGAGAACTCTACACGGAATACTTCATTTGCGAATTCCCATAATTTGTCTCTTACATTCTGTTTGATTCTTCCAATTCACACTTCCCTTTGATCTCTCTTTCTTCTTCCTTCAATTCGATCTTCTTAGCCTTCTGTCAACCACTCAACTTTTGATCGGTGTTACATACTACTTATGTCTGTCGACATCAGTAGCATGCAGCACTAGTGGACTACTAGTTTTGTGCCTAAGCATTGTTTGGTCATAAAATTTATTCAGTCCTTTCTTGTTAAATAGAATATTGTTTTCTTACTGCAAAATAATTTTAACAATTTAATGAGAAAACAGGCTCATTTATTTAATACTATTGCATTATTGCATATTAGTTAAGGTTTTATACTGAAAGAGTGACCATTGTCTATGTAATTGTGCTAATTTTTTCACATGTAACTTATGCAACAATCTATAGCTATATACATAGTGGTTTTTTGTCTTCTCTTTTTAGCGTATTTATACATATAAATTGGAATCGTTAAAATCAAAATATATTTTTATCTTTTGATGTTTGACTTGGTAACTAGATACTCAGATTTTTGTCATTTTAATATCTTGTAATACTATTGTATCAATTCATTTTGACTATTATCATTCTAACCCAGGACCTACCAGTCTCGAGCCGAAGCCCTTAACCGATAGACCACTGAGCTGGCATCCAACGGTGTTAATGTCTAACTTCAACTGATTCTAGTGAGAAGCAGTGACCAGTGGAGTTCAAAACCACGTCTGTTGTGAGATAGGAACTCACTAAAGACAATTGATGAATGGTTGCTCAAGTTCGTGGATCAGTTGAAGTTAGACATTAACACTGTTGGATGCCAGCTCAGTGGTCTATCTGTTAAGGGCTTCGGCTCGAGACTGGTAGGTCCTGGGTTCGAATTCCGCTCGCGAGAGCAGGTTCGTGGATGCGCACTGCTGAGGAGTCCCATAGTAGGACGAAACGGCCGTCCAGTGTTTCCAGGTTTTCCATGGTGGTCTAGCTTCAATTGACTCACGTTTTCAACTATAATAAATACTAAATCTCCACAAAACCCCTTCTATAATTAATATTATCATTCTCTTTAAGTATAATTATATCTGTATGCAATCATAGTAGTTGTGTCACGAATATCTTCTTTGTTTAATTTCTATTCATCAATAAATGTATCATCATATCTGTAATGTAATCATGAGTAGTTTGGTGTACGAAGGACATATAATAAGTTGAATTATTTACGAGCAATAAGTGAACTTGGTATCCTATCCTATCGATTGGTGGTCATTTTCCAGAATTCTATACTATTTAGGACTGGTAAGAAAAAACTATTTATAAGTTTAAAGAAACATGTACTACACTAAAGCAATATTTGAACTTTTATTGTTTAGCAGTCTCAACTTATTTTGTCATCGTTTGACTTGTTTTAAAAGTGGAGACGTATGTATGCATACTAATATGATGAAAAAGACTTGCTTCATACGTACATATTGACTATTTCGGTCTGTTTTTAGTTATATCATTTATTTATCGACGATACCGTAAAATTTTATTCACGACATTATTTATTGCTATTTTAAGTAACTCTATTATTTGTTTTCTATAGATAATTAAGGGAGACAGTGTTATCCAAATTTGTTTATTCGTTTTTAATTTTATTTTAGAATGGCATTAAGTCCGCTAGGTGCTAGTGGGAAACCAGTTACTTTGTTTTCAGTCTTACCATATCATCGTAAAACAACAGGATCTCACTTCAGGTAACATTTCTTAAATTCAGTTAATTAACTTTAGTTATTCTTTATAAAGTTTTACAAACGTTTTACTATTAATCAACCAGTTTGTTGATACATGAGAGGATTCGTAGCTTGGCAGATCGATATTGAAGATATTGTGCTCTCTGAGCTTTGAGTTTTGGTATCGTGAACCTTACATCGTCTTTCTAAACTATATTAGCAATGCATACTTCTTAAAGAGCTTTAAAAAATATATGTTAATGTTATCTAGATAGGTGGTGAAAACCTCAAGATTACAGGTACCTGCTTTTATGTTCTTCAATCCTATAATACTGACCAAATTTGATTGATCAAGCCCTTTGTGTGGCCACTATACCAAGCACTTTGGGATACCAGTGTAACATGTCTGATACTAAATGTCTCGTCGAAACTCAACAGGTAGCGTCTAATTTATCTCCTGCGCTTCTAGGCCTACCTATAACTCTTAGGATGCGTAATTTTACACAAATCTGAACCTACATCAGTATTTAAGTCTGAAACTTTATCACTTAGTTGTTCCTAAGATGCAGTGAACTTTTATGGATCTTGACGATGCTATACGTTTTTTAACAGATTATCTTATTTAGTAGACGGTTCAGTCAAGTAGTGTTAAATAAAGTTCATTCAGACAGCTGTTTATATTGATAGTTAGATTAGAGAATAGGTTTCCTATGTAATAATCTTAAATTATTTTGTTTACTTTACTTTGATGAAGAATCAGCTGTTGCTGTTGCCATGACGCAGTTAGCTGGGATCATGATAAACACGTCTTTCCTTGGGGAATTCGGAAAAGAATTTGCATCATTATTAATTGTCCCATCTATCCATGAACAGTGACAGCGAAGCTTAAAAAATAATTATTACAGCGCGGTTGTATCTTGGAAATATTTGTTCTCGCTTTTATGTTATTTTGTCCTATCAGTAGCATTTGATAACATTTTTATACTTAATCATTTGATAAACACTTTATGTATGATTCTTTTATTTAGAGTTGGACGTCGTCATATTCTTCCTCCCAGTTCTCACAAACTTTCTTCAGGTGTGCAACAGTTTCAGTCTCCCGCAAGTTCAGTCCGTCTACCACAGACTTCTGTATCCACCGGTGTTACACATGTTAAAGATCCTAACCCTCAATCCAATTTTGTTCATAACGTGTTAAGTCTTAGCTCGTTTCGACCTGTTAATGGTGAGGTAAAGAAATTAACTTATAAACGTTTTATATGATTCTATTCAATTTAGATCGAAAATATACCAGATTATATTATCGTTATTAATTAACTGAGAAACTGTACAGACATGGTTATCTATCTTTATTGGCTTCATTCTGGTGTCTATGAGTTGCATTAACTATTCTGGTATGATCTGCAAACTCTAAGAGTGTATAGTAGGAGTTCGATTGGTACTTATTAGCTCATGGTACCAGTGAGATTGACAAAATTTTCGGTTGGTAATTTAAGAGCTCAATAGTGTGTTTTACTTGACTGACTTTACAGCTGTTAGACTTAATCTCTGAAAGTAAACAAATCAAAAGGTGTTTGGTGTTTAATCGTAACTATCTATTAAGCAGCAAACTCTTGTGGTGAAACTACCAAGTGAATAAAATCCAGGTCAATTGTAAAGTATATCATCTATATAGATAGTTTTTTGAAACACAAATCCCTCAATTGTAACGTTTTATATTCGGATGGACATTGACCTTGCCTATATTTCCATGGGGATATAAATTATCATTGAGTTAGGGTTTTATATTGTTATTGATTGTAAAAAAGCAAGCGTAGCTTACGTGTTATCCTCCTAGTATACAGACTAGAGATTCCTAAGTAGATTTGATGAACAATCCTGTGCACTTGTCAGTTAAGTGTAAAATATCATTTTGAGTCATTACATTTGATGTTATTTCATGACCATTACATGTACATAGATATATAAGAAAAATTGTACATTAATCTTATATAATAAAATTTTTCGATTATATTTGGAACGAAATGACGACCTATCTCATAAACGTATATACAGTTTTTTATAATCTGGTTTAATGGATGTGGAATCTGAATTGTGATCTTCATTAGGGATTGAAATCAGTTAGAAAATCATCAAAAACTTGCAAACAGTAGATGGTTACTGTTTTGTTACTAGTTTGGGATTTCTCACCATTTCACAGACAAATATATGGAGTGTTATATGGTTCTAGGTAGTCGCTAAGATACTTTGCACCTAAGTTTCCTGCTACTTATCACTTGTCAAAAAGGAGTATCTGCGGTCTTAAAGTAAGTAATGCTCCCTGGTAGGTTCGAACCTTGGTCATCCAGGTTCACAGTGTGAGAGGTTACGACGGAGCTATTTATGGAGCGATTGACTTCCTCTAGGAGTCAGATATTTACACTGACTGGTCAGTGTCAATATACTCAGACTGGTAGCTGCGTTGCAACTTGGTCGGTCTAATTCGACCAGCACTGAGATCTGGACAAACACGATTTTAGTCACTTTTCAGCGATCACTCATTGCATACACATCAAATCCGAATCGGTTTGGCACCGCCTGCTGATTTCATTAGTTTCTGAGATACCATGAGCCTCTATTATATTACTTATTATTAGTGATTATTCAGATTTTATTTGACAATTCATTTCAGGTAAATGTCATGGAATTTGTACTTGTATCTCCACGAACTATGTGTAGTCGGATAACATAGTCACTATATATATGCTGTACTATTGAGATAGTTCACACGATATTCTCATAGTTCTTATTCTACTAATCAAAGCACAAAAAGACCACTATAGTTTCTTGCATTATTCTATCTTGTCCAGACTTGAAAAGCTGTCATAGTTATATATATAAAATACAAGATTACAACACACTGTACTTAGTAAATGTCAGTACGTACATAATCAAGACATTCATGATAAAAAACCAAGTAATAGGTTTGTGTATTTTTTTGGGTTGTCAAAAACACATCAGTAGTTGATGTGTTGAAAGAAAGCCCACAGTTAGGATATTATAAATTACCATAAACCGGTTTTTAAAAAAAATGGAAGAAAAAACATTTATACTTGATACTTATTACGCTTCGATACTTAGACACTGACTTCCTAACCACTTTCTAGTCCCCAGAAACCTACTCATGATTATCGACCAGTAAAATGTGGGGAAATGTAAAAAGGGCTTTACTTCGACGATCCGTTCATTTACAGAAAACAACTGTGTTCATAGAGTTATGCGTTATTTTAAGGTTTCACGAAACCTTTAGAAAACATGTCAAAATTGATAATAATTTGGGTAATTATCCAGCCAGGATAATGAAGACACCCTTTAGAATTTTTAAAAAGCACTTTGGTTGAAGTATTTTCAACATTTCCAGGTCTTGTGAAGGCAATTTTAAATGATTTATTAAATGCTTCTAACAATACTGAATCTTCAAAGAAAAGATTTGAAAGTTTGACATTCGCAATTATTCACTCTATATGAATCATTTTAAATTGTTGGGCTTAAGTTATCCTTTTCATCAATCAGTGACCTAATAATATTGACTTATATTCACTAATACTCTTACTAAAATTCTTAGTTAAATATCTTATTCTTTATAAGCATAGATAGATGATGATTAGCAGTGGAAACCAGGACGCGCGTTTCGTCCTATTTGGGACTTGTCAACTGGATGCGCTTGCATCCCAGAGTTGATGTTCAATCTGGGACTCGAACCCAGTACCATTCGCTTCAAATAGCATCACATTATCCACATAGCTACTGAATCCTGATAGCCACTTGCTTGTGCAATGGGGTGAAGTTTAAATTCATTTTTGCTTATAATGCTTGTAACGTAAGGCAATATTGACGCAATCCACACAGAATGTGCCAAAAGAGGCTGATCAATTGCAGTCATAGACATCAACGGGAAGATTAAAACAAACATTACAAGTTGAATTTATCATATCCTTTTTTTCTCTCTAAAAAACCACCTTATTCACCTTATCCTTTAGCACACATGTAGTTTGGTCAGTGTTCTGTGCATTTTGATAATTTAACACATTATCGTTGCTAATTTTGTTAGTCGTTATTTTAATGCGAAACTGCAGAATCTGTATTGTCATAGTATTTTTTGTTTTCTGTATTTACAGACTATTTCATATGCTCATTTCATTCAACCAAATTGTCAATTACCAAAGAACACTGTAAAGGTTGGGCATACAATGGATACCGAATTGCTGTCACATATTCTACTAAATCCAGGTTTCAGATCAAATTGTGACCCGTTTACTCATTTTCACGAAGGTTAGAATAGGCCATTTGATAATCAGTGCATAATAATAATAATAATAATAATAATAATAATAATAATAATAATAATAAATGTTTATAGCAGCTCACGTACATTTGAGTTTGTTCACATTTAATTTGGTTAAGCCCTTTTGTTAATTTATTTATATGTAATGGTTAAAAAGTACATTTTCAACTTTTTGGAAGCTCAAAATTTTGATGTGGTTCTTACATTTTCATTAGACTATAATTCAGCAAATTGTTTTAACAGTTATTAACAGCTACCATATTACTGGTTACCAAGCTGGACTTGGATAATTTGTATCAGTGAAGCAGTGGTTTAGCCGTTAAGACGAGCGACCTTCAACCACCAGGTCACAAATTAGAGATTCACTCCACCTATTTTAGTTTGGGTAGTCGGATAATATCACCAGGCGTCAAAGCTGAGTACACTAATCCGTACTTGGTGGGTTACTTCATCATCCTAAAAGCAACGTGTTAGATGACTAAACATTAGTTAATCATAAGCAAAGATGGATAGTGGCTGGCAGTGGGATCCAGGAAGCGCTTTTCGTCCTATTTGGGACTCGTCAACTGGATGTACCTGCATCTCAGATTTGATGTTCACTCTGGGACGGTACTGGGTTCAAGTCCAACTTTTAGTGAATATAACTTCACCCCATTACACAAGCAGGTGGTTATCGGGACTCAGTAGATAAGTGGTTAACTCGATGGCTTTTGAAGCGAACGGTACTACGTTCGAGTCCCAGATTGAACATCAACTATGAGATTCAGGTACATCCGGTTGACGAGTCCCAAATAGGACGAAACGCGCGTCCTGTTTTCCACTGCTAACCACCATCCACCTAGCAACCAACAATATTTTGTCTACCTCTGAATTTTAATCCAATTTTATTGATCAAGTTTTCAGTGTGTGGTGTATTTTAATATTATGCGAATATCCTTTGTGTTTAGTAAAATATTATAGAAGACTCTATGGATCTCTGTTTCATACTTCATCATGTAGTCTTCATCCTTTAAGAAATACGTGTTTATTCGGGAACTCTGACTCATTTCACTTAGTGTCTAAGAGAAATTTTCACCGATCAATAGTATGCTCAACATCAGAAATACGTCTTGACTAGTGATTGTCTAGATTCAAGCTTTCTGAAGCAGTTAAATAATAATATTATTTATTCAGATGTTTTTTGTCACGGACCGACATCATTTGAGGAACCAATGAAAACCTAAGCGTACTGGGTGACATGTCTCGAAAGTACATATTAACTATTCAATCATAAATCCAATGAGTGGCTTTCAGATCTTGTAGCGAGTGGGTTATCAAAGACCACTGAGATGGAATTCAGTAGTTGTCCACTTTTCCTTTTAATCAGACTTTTATCTATTCCTTTAAAGTGTTTCATATTAAATTACATTGTTATTCATGTTCATTAATCTTGTGCGTATGTATTTGCCAATCATGTTTTCATTAAGCGCGGAAGTACTACTTTCGTTAACTATCAGCGTAGATTGTAAGCTAAATGAAGTGAAGGTCGATCTATTTCAGTTTTTCATGAAAATAATTGGCTGTAAGTGCTTATTTTGACTAAACAAATTTTGATTTTCTCCTTTTTCATAGCTTCCGTTATACCTAACTCGAATTTTTCTCGACGTAGCTTCTTGAATAATTCTACAGTAATCCCTTCGACCAATACGCATTGGCATCATTCTACGACGTCATTTAATAGACAACGCAATCCTAGTTCAAGCAGTACAAATTGTAACGTATTTGGTAATAATTTGTCTTTATTGTCATTTATAGCTTTAGGTTATCCAGATCCATTATTGAGTTATAACCCATTTCTTTTGGATGATCCGGAATTATTAGTTTCAACAGGAAAGCGTGTATTAAAACTTCCGAACTATTTAGTGAGTTATTTATATTATTCGTATAATCTGTCAAGTATATCACTTCTATTTCGCTATTTCGTTACTGATGCTTACATGACCGATTGGATTGATGCAATTTAATAGTACTAAACAGTAAACTATATTAGAAAAAATAAACCAACTTAAACTACAATTGATCCTACCCAATACTTGATGTCTGATTGAGCTTCACGAATTTTATGTAATGAGAACTTCCTGTTTGGGACTGTGGCGGTATCGGTATCGATGTTTTTCAACTCTCTTAAGTTGACTCTATACACTGACCAACCTGGTTTAAATATCTGTTTACCTCTCACTTTTATGGGAACAACTTTGTTAAGTGTAAGGAGAAAATAAAGCCTTTGGGAAATGTAATAATTAATTACACATTTTTTTACTCCGTGCTTGACCTAACGTTTTTTTATTTTATTGAATGAAACTATACTTTCTTATACAAAATTTTTGATTGGATTGCGAATTGTGGAAAGTATTCTAATTAGTACAGACTAGTTGAGATCACTACCAAGTGTTCTTCATAATCTTGCTGGTTAGATCTGGTTGACAGAAAACTCTGTATCTATGTTTCCAGCAGAACGAAGTAGCTGTTTTCGCATTTCCGAAGATTGAACAGTTATACTTTTGTAAGATATTCACTGTTTGCCAATGGTTATGTTTGTGGACGATGCTCTCCATTTGGATTAAGCCAGTTGCAAGCAACGTAGGAACCCTGGTAAATCTAAGCATCGGTTCAAGTTGCCACACCATATGAAGCAAAGCAATGAGATGAAATTATCATGATAAATGCCAAAATAGTAAAAGTGGTAACCATATCAGTGGTACTGAAAAACACTAAGCATAGGCTTTATGATGCAAGAAAAAAAGATTTGTAAAACAGGAATATGATTTTAAAACTCTAAAAGTGAGAGAAGACCGATTCTGAGCCATTTCACTTAACGTCTACAATTATCGTTCATAGTTATCGCGTGGACCGCATCTAGCTTTCTTACAGTCTGATTCTATACCAGCAAGCATCGCATGTCTAAGTAAACAGTGGCTGGTCATACGTAATACATGCCCCAACCACCTCAATTGATGATTTGTAGGTTTGTTCTTTGTTTGATCTCATTTTAACAGTGATTCACTTCACACTGACTGATTCATTGATTGAATCAACATCATACTAACCTTTCATAACTTGTGTATGTAATCACTCCTGGTCAATTTCACCAATGTAAAGAATTAGTCATCTTTTCATACAGAAAACATCGTCTCTGGTGGCTTATGATTCTTCTTGATTTATAAGACTCAATATGTTTCACCAAATTATACTGTTATCATTGTGATTTATTTACTGTTTTCCAATCTAATTATACCATTGCAGACTAGTGTTTTGGGATATATTCGACCGAATGAGCGTAAGCGTGAAGTCAATCGACAATTCCATGAAAGATTCCCGTCAATACAAATAACATTAACGAAATTGCGTAGCATAAAATTAGTATTAGTACAAATTGCTCAACGCGTTAGTTGTTCTTTTTTTAAATTTCCAATTTAGTGGTGTAATTTGAATTTACTTTTTGTGGCTTATTTTTTTTTTTTACCGAGGTACTGATATTCATTCAAATGAAATCAGGATATTTAAAAGGAATTCACACCTAACTGTTGTCTTAAATATCACTTCAGTTCACGGCAGATATTCCTTAAAAAATTGTCTATATCTTCTTCTCAAGAACCATCTGTGTCATTAGAATCCTTTAAAAAGTATACTCTTTGTTCATTTGAGACATATTTTGTATATGCCTTATCTCATAATTCTGAATAAACACAATTCAGTGGAATTTAAGCTCAGTTCTTTTTGTGTATGTTGGATTCATTACAGTCTCGTAATTTTGTCATTATCACTTTCAA